TTAAAGTTCATTGATGATGGTCAGCTCTATAAGTAGAGGCCATCACCCCTTCCGGTAATTAAAATTCAAATTATTAATAAAATTTAGGTATTTTTATTTTAAATTTCCAAATTTTTAAGAGTGAATGAATGAATGAGTTTTCGACTGGTTTGTTACACTAGGAATTAGAATCTTTTATTGAGGTAAGTTTTATGGCGTCTTTTTAATTCCAGTTCTTTATTTCTTTTTTTATAAACTTGGTTTTCACTTTATTGTTAAGTGTGGGTCAAATAGGGAGAATTTACTTAATATTTTGAGTTTCTAGTTGTTAATGTATATATGGGATTTTGGATTGCATTATTGATCCAGAGTTCTATATCGGAAACTCTATATCTTGTGCAGATGACTTCATATCTATTTATGAGATGAACCTATCAACTTGAGGAGGTTGGGCTTAGGACAAAAGCTTGGTTTATGGGTGGAGTAAAAAGTCAGTTCGATCTTGATGTAGAATAAGAAATCAAGTTAGATGGTAGTAGGGTTAGGATTATTGTTGAGTATTGAAAAGTGAAGCAAGGGTAGTCAATTATCGATGGGAAAAAACGCGATGAAACTTGGTTTATAGAGGTGGTGGGGAATCGTTTTGATGTTATTGTAGAACAAAAGATACAGTTTGAAGGCAATTGTGGCTAAGAATGGAATAATAGTGTTGTGGAGGTGATGAAGCTTGATCTATGGATGTGGTGGAGAATCTGTTCAATCTTGATGTTGAACTAGGGATGGAGACTGAAGGTGATGGGGCTAGGAATTGTTGCCAAAAATTGAATATTGGTGCAGCGGCAATGAATTGTTGATAGAAAAAATGGTAATAAGGACTAATAGATCCTTTTTATACTTGATGCAGACCTAAATATAAGCTCTGAGATGTTAAGGCAAGGAATTGTGAATGAGAAGGGAAGAGCTTAGGGTCGATGAACTTCAGACAAGGAGAGGTACCTCACAAGGTAGGAGGACTATAAGTTTGGAGTTTTTTTTTAGTATTTAGATATTTGTTTATACATATAATAGTTATGGCATAATTATGTGTTTTAATTTCTTATAAATTTGATAGCAAGATGCTTTAATTTAATTTCCCGCCTTTCATTTTCAGCATATATATATATATATCATATTAAAGAAGAAATAAGTGTAGCAACGTGTTATGGTTAGATTATGAAAATAGGATTGTAGTAGTTATATATTTGGCGTGTCTAACTTATCATATTAAGAACTTTAAACCATTATTTTGTCTATCTCTCTCTCTCTCTCTCTTTTTTTTTTTTTTTTGTATATACGTATCATTTGCAGGCAGACCAAGTAGATTAATTACATTTCATTATATACGTGCATGTGTATATATATATATGTATTTATGTATAAAGCAGACAAGTAAAGGGGATTACAAATATTTTAAACTTGTTAGGACAACATTGTTCTTTTTGTTCAATTTATAGGATTAAGTTAATATAAAAAAAAAAAAGTTGTAGGTAGAGTAATAATATCTTAACTTAAAAAGCTAAAATTTAAATTTAATCTAACTTGCTTCAATAAACTTATATTCAAACATTAAAAATTATTATATTAAATTACTGGTGCACATGCATCGATTGATAATGGCAGCGAAGTAATTGGCATGCAAATATTAAAATAAATAAATAAAATGCATTTAGTTAATAAATGAGTTGGTTGAGGAGGAGGAGGGAAAAGATAGCAGAGCATGGGTTTACCTTCCCCCATTTATTATTATTTAAACTCAAATGGGCTTTACTTTTACTTTTTTTTTTTTTACTTTCCTATTCTTGCTTCCGAAATCAGCTATTTACTTTTACTTTTATCCTCATTAATTTTTGAGACCATCTTTACTCTTTAATTATAAACCCCCCTGATTTCACAATTTTCCCTTTCCCCTAATTTTCCGCTCCTTAATCTCATCATTATCGTCACGCTTATGAATTTACATGGTCAAATTTCTAACCATATTTTTAATTAATTAATTAATTAATTAAAACAATAAAACTACAATTCTAGTAACTGAATCAGAACAAAATATAATCAAGGGTGGTGGTAATGGGGAAAATTTTAAGGAGGCATACACATATATGTTTTTTTTTTTTTTTTTTTTTACAAATTGCGATAACCAAAATAAGAAAGTAGAAAAAAAAAAAAAAAAAAAAGGAAACCAAAGGAAAAGGACACAAAAGAACACAAAACTTTTTCATCTATTATTCTTTTTCCTATTTATTTTCTCTTCTTT